CTGGGGCTCATCTGCAGCTTGAGTTGCATTGAGGAAATCATCATTGGGCCCAAAACGGACAAAACTTCCGTCGAGATTTTTCGGGCCAACTAGCCCGCCAGCGCGCCGGAATGGGACCTAACGGCGCCACACGAGGGAGGGTTCTCGAACAATAACAACCCAACTTCAAGCACAACACCCCAAAATCATATTATGAGCAAATCGCCCTGACTTGGCACGACACAAGTCGTTGGACAGGGGCCCAAACCACCCCCAGAGGCCATAATATTCCCGAAAGGCCCCCGACATGCCCCCATGATGGCCCCATAAGGCCCCCAGAAGCCCCCAAGAGGCCCCCAAAAGGCCCCCGACATGGCCCCATAAGGCCCCAAGAAGCCCACCATGAGGCCCCCATAAGCACGCATACAGGCCCCGAAAGCCCCCAAGAGAGTCATGGAAACCATGGAAGCCAGCTGGCGCCTTCTTGGGGGAATATCGCGGCCCCTTGGGGCCATCATGGGGCCTCCAAGGCCGCAATTTGACGATTTTGGTGTCGTTTTCTGGCCGTCTTGGGCCCCCCCGGCCCCCGCTTCCATTATTCATGGGCCTGCCGAAACTGCGGGTTTTTCGCATGTCCCCTGAATAGTGGAACCCCCAAAACAACACATTTTCTGGACGTCCCTCCGGGCGGGCCGGGGGCGGCTTTCTCGTGCGCAGGCTAATAAAAACAAGCCGCGGCGACGCGCCAAAAAGTGTTCAAAACAGGGGACGAAAGCGGCGGGTACCCCGAAATCTTGAAACATCGTGATTTCCGTTTTTTTCTAACATAATTTTGGGGGCCTCCTGGGGGCCTCTTGGGCGCTCTTGGGGGCCTGGGCCGCTCTTGGGAGCCTCTTGGGGAGCTCTTGGGGGCCCTTGAAGGCCTCTTGGGGGCCTCTTGGGAGCCTTTGGGGGCCTTTTGGGGGCCACCAAAAGCTCCCAGAGGGGTCAAAAGAAAAAACATAAAATCTTGGGGCTCTCTTGGGGGCGTCTTGGGGCGCTCTTGGGGGCGTCTTGGGGCGCTCTTAGGGGGCCTCTGGGGGCCGCTTGGAACCGTGCCGGCAGCAGCAGCATGGAGCAGCAGCAGCGTGCAGCAGCACCAACAGCAACAGAAACGGACAACTGACAAATCGCGCGCAGGCAGACCCCCCACTTGGGAGAAATGACGGGGGGTCCGATCGAAATTGACCCCCCTGGAACGATGAATAACGGCGGAAACGCTCCACCACGAACGCCCCCCCGTTGACGATTGAACCGGCTCGAGTGCACTTACCCGGTCAACCGTTCATAACCAGGGGTGATATCTATATCACGCTGTGTGCAGCACTGATGGGACACGCCTCTCGCGAACGCTCTACAGTTGGCGAGGGCCCTGAAAGCTTCTCCAGAGACCCGTTTTGCAAGGTCAGGGATACAAGGGTTAGGCTTGTGGTGGGGTCACCAGAAATCTGGGTGGGAAAACTTCGAGCATGAATGGGCCGCGGTCGCTTCCTCGCGAACGCTTTACAATTGGCGAGGGCCCTGAAAACTCCTCCAGAAACCTAAGACCACGATGTGCCCCGATACCAATTATGCTCGGAAGCGACACACACGGGAGTAACTAAAAAACGTCCCTGGCCGGAGGCGCGAGCCAGGTAGCTGGCGTGAGAAATCTCGGCGAGATTTTTACAGAGGGAGGAGTGGCAAGGCTCGAAGGGGAGGGGGAAAAGAGGGAGGAGGAGGAGGAGGAGGAGGAACAATGAACACAAACAACCTAACCACGCCAGAACTGGCAGTCCCGGACGGCGGCACGAAAAGGTGGATTCCCAGTCTGCACACTGAGCAGAACGCGCCTGGAACAGACGCTGGAGCCTCGATTGGAAGTTACACACTGTCTTCGCTCGAACAATAAACTCGGGAAATAAATTGCACACGCGTACCATCCCAATGGCCGAATAAAACACATAGTCTCCTGAGGGAGGAGGCCCCACCTGGGGGGGGAGGCATTTTCTAGCTGCGGCGGCGGCGCTACTGGCGGACGCGCAATTTCGAGCATGTTTTTTTTTTTTTTTTTTTTTTTTTGTTTGTTTGCCTTTTTGGCTATGATCAAGTGTAGTATCTGTTCTTATCAGTGTGACAACTGATATGTTTCCAACTGGAGACTTGCTTGTCGCATTTTTTCCCTGGGGAGGTACATCCTTGAGCTTGCTCAGGATTCCTCAAGCACTGCTCTGGCTTGGCACGCCGCCAGATGTGGTGCACCCTTCGGGGTAACAACTGAGATGCCTGCACATTACTGGTTGTGTCTACTGCATCGGGCGCCTGACTGCACCGCGCGGCGGCGCGAAGCGACGTCGCGCTGCGACCCTGGGCTGCTCCAAAGCTGACGGCGCCCGAAGGTCTTCCCAGGCGGTCCCCCACCCCAGTATTAACTGGGCCCTGCGCCGCTTAACTTCGGAGGTCAGAAGAGATTGGGGGCATTCGACAATCAGTGTCCAGAACTTGCCGTTCGGGGCTTTACCAGACAGCTCATGGTGCGGGCGGCCCGTCTTAGGAGCATACCCAGGCTCTAGGGATCTCGAAATCGCATCAGGAATATTACACAGCATGAATTTGGCTGCTTCTCTCCACCGGGTTCCAAACTGGCAGAAGTCAGCACGCTGAGTACTTACATGGGGGCAGGCGGGCAGCCTCAATACTTCGGGCAAGACCCAGAACATGGAGGTGAGAGGGTTCTCGACGATGCATGGGATTCCCATTCTCAAGCACAGGCGGAACAACTTCATCGCGCATCTAGTCAGGACGTTCCCAACTCTCACCTTCTCATTGTCAGCGTCGCTGAGGTTGCATAAGCCCCACGGGTACTCGTTGGAGCGCAGGGGGGGGGAGGGGGCAGTCACGACGCGCCCGACTCAGGGACTGACAGGACGTCGATATGATCACCCCTTTGACTCTGCCACATCGAATTCTATTCGGCACTTTCTTTTCATTCTCGTTTACCAACAAGTCATGATTCGGGCCGGACACAATATCTGTCTTCGCCGATCGGCCCCCCAACTGTCAATTCGGCCGAGACGCCGCCATAGCCGGCGTAGACGTCCTCAAAATCCCACTCCGCGGAAGAGAAAGGGGTCGCGGGGGCGGGGGGGCTGTCGAGGACGCGGCGCAGGTTGGCACCGCACCACATCGCGAACTGCTTGGAACTCTTGGGCAGGCGCGGCCACTGCACCTGCGCGCGGCCGCCCTTCTCGTAGCGGGCGATGCTCTTGTGGTTGCCCCACCGACCTCGCTTCATGACCTCGTTGAACGTCCCCCTCAACGACCGGCGATCCCACGACGCCCCGCTGTGCCTGAGTTGGTATGGCGCCAACGCGGGCAGGCCGAGCCGCTTGCACGCGGTCTTGAAAATATTTGGCCTTCTCGCCTGTTCGACTTTCCCGCGTTCCAAGCCGGCCCACGAGGCTCCCAGATGCCCCCGAGAGGCACTAACTGCTTCGGGTAGCTCGCGTAGCGGTAGTCGAACGGGGGGTCGTCGCCTTCTTTTCCGCGCTTGAGGTCCACGAGCAGCTGGGTGATCCATGCATCCTCCTTGTCCCCGACCACGGTGTCGTCGTAGATGCCTGCCTTGGTCAGCCGCAACTCCTTGGACGGTCGGATGACGATCGTCCAGTGCGGCCCTAAGTTCGCCAACGGCGGGATGAGCCACGTGCCTTCAGCTGGATCTCCCCTGGGCGCCCGTAGGTCACGAGGGCGACCGGCATCTCGATCGCCATCGCGAGGAAGCGCGCCCGCGCCAGCTCGACCATCGCGGCGGCCCACACGCGGCGCGCCTCCGGGAGGCGCGACTGCCCAGGCGCCAGGCGGCCCCGGCCCTGGAGGGCGCGGTGGGCCCGGGGCATCCAGAAGATGCCAGCCCGGCCAAACTCCCGGCGGAGGCCCTTGATGGCGGCCAGCAGGTAGCGCCCGACGCTCCCGTCCATCCCGTCGAAGAACCTCTCGTCGAACACCTCGATCGGCGCGAAGTCGACCTCCTCCGGGCAGTTGAGCGATAGCCCGAGCCTCGCGCAGTCCCGCGCGACCTCCTCCATCACCCCGAGGCGCCGTTTGTCGACCTTCTCGCCCACCGCCTTCGTCTCGAGCAACGAGCGCCCGAGGATGGCGGCCTCCACCGAGAAGCGATCCTGCCTGATCAACGTCGCAGTCCGCCTCCTCGTCTCGGCTGGCTGAGCCGCCGGCGGGCTCCGGGGTGGGCGTGGCACCAGCCGCTGCCCGGCTGGTCGCGGCGTCGTCGCCTTCTCGCGGGCGCAGCGGCCGTCGCTCGCCAGCCGCCGCGCCTCGCGCCGCCTCGAGCTGACAGTCGGCTCGGGCGGCGCCGCCGTCCTCCTTCAACCTCCGCGGCCCGGGCGCAAATCGCCGCGACGGCCCGTTCGCGGGATTGAGCTCAGACGGCAACCAGCGAACATGGCAACGGACGTTCCTGGCCAGGCATAGGGCGCGCCACCTTCGACATCATATGTTCATTTTGAAGTCGGAGGCCCTGCCCTCGCAGAAGGCCGCGCCCAAAAAACAGCGTGACGACCTTTGACCCCAGGACGTTTCACGCGCCGCCGAAGGGTTCTGATCATTCCCTTGGCCTCCAGGATGTGGATGGGCCCCTTCCGGGTGAACCTGCCAGAGCACGCGTACTTCCAGGGGGCCTTGAAGATCCAGTCGGGGCTGATGTCGGGGAACTCGGGGTCCTCCTCCCGGACCTCGTGGGGTCGTGCCTTTGGGAGCGTAGATGGTGCACATCTTGCCGAACCCGAAAACGCAGCCGCCCGTCGACCCCCCCACCTCTTTCGCGTTTTTCCCGTCCCAGATGCTCTCGACAACTCCCCATCCTGTAGGGCCGGCATCCGTCGCAACCACCTCGCGGTGCCAGGGCAATTTCCACTGAGCAAAGGCGAAAAGAAGTAACGCACGCGCAGCACTCAACTCGGCCTCCACGGAGGCCAGAGGTCGACCTGCCCCCCGCCCACGCTCCTCATGAACTGATAGGTAGCAGACAAAACCGACAGAGGGCGGCGGAGCATGAAAATGGACGCGAGGTGGCATGCAGTCGACCCGCGATCCAGCAGCCAGGTGAGCAGGCTGTCAATCTTCCACATTCTCTTCAAGGCGGTGGCCACCATGCCAACGCGCCCATCGATCGCTACACCCAGAATCTCAGCGCTGGTCTGGGCGTGGGTGCGCTCGTGGGTGGCCAGGCCGACGCCGTCGAGGGCGTCGCGCGCCTGATCCTTCAGAGTCTGCATCTCCTTGCGCTGGCTGCCCAAGAAACCCGCCTTGTCCACGTGGACGTCGTGGAAGGGCTGCCCGCCGGAGGTGATCAGGCTCGAGCCGCCGAACGGCTGCAGCCGACGGTCCGCGGGCCCGCCCGCGGCGGTCTCCACCTGCTCGGCGACCGCCTCCTGCGCGAGGTAGAGCGACCACTTGAACCCCATCGGGAGCACCGCGAAGCAGGGGTGCACCTAGCGGTCTGGTGACAGCCGCCCCCCCTCCGCCTCGTGGATGCCGAGCTCCTCCGCCCGCAGGGGCGGCAGCGCAAAGTACCGGCTCAGCTCCACATCGAGCTTGAAGCGGTAGAAGGCGCACCGCACGCCTCCAGTGCTGACGAAGATCTCGGCGTCGCCGTCGACCTCGATCAGACCCAAGGACTCGGCGGTCGCCAGTTCCACTCCAGGACTCCAGGAGGGTCTCGGAATCGGCGATTGCTGCGGCGAGCGTCCACCACCAGCCACTGCTTCTCCGACTTCTTCTTGGCGCAGAAAACGGCGGCACGCTCCTTGCACGCGGTGCGCCACCGCAAGATTCCGATAGACCCCAGCCTGTTGACAAACTTGATGTACGCCTCACGGCCCTCTGACAAGGCCCGGTCCATGTACGGCGTGGTCGGCTCCAAGTTGTCAGCCAGCTCCCAGAATTCGATGTCGGGCCTGACGATGCGTTCTTCAAAATCTACCAGCATACATGCGGCCTCAGCCGGCACGACGCCCACCGCGCGCGGACAGTCCTTGCGCGAGGAGAGCACCGACAACAGCTCTTCCTGGTAGTCGCTGACAGTGTGCTCATCCGAGTCGTAGCCGTCTCGGGAACGCAGAAGCGCGCGGGCGGCTTCATGCGGGCGGGGTGCGATGTCAATCGCCTGAGAGCGCTGCATCACGCTCCGCGCAAGCTGGGCGGCCTCGAACAAAGCCTGGGAACACGCGCCGCCGGGGGGCGCCTTCTCTCCGCGCTCACTCAGCCAGCTCACAGCGCTGATGGCGTCGTTGGCGCGGTGAGTGACGGCGCGGCAGCGGGCGACCCGCTGACGCACCCCTCGGCTTAGCCCAGCGCGGCAAGGCCCCTCCTCCACCAGCGACTGCAAGGGGAAGAGCTCGGGCTGCATCGCGAAAAAGATGAGGTGGCTCAGCACGACCACGAACGTCGCACCGAGCGCCAAAAACGCGCCCGAGGGCGCTGCCCTTCTGAGGGAGACGCGGCCTGCAGCGGGGCCTCGGCCGCGCCTCCAGCCCCATGTTTGGCGCCCGCCTTTGCCTTGGGGTTCGTGGCGGCGGCGCGCGCTTCTTGGGCCTTCTGGAGCTTCTTCTCAATCTCAGCATTCTCCTTCCCGCGGTTGGCGACGTGAACCATCGGGGCGGGGGTGGTCCCCGCAGTCCTCTGCTGGAGCCCCGACCGCAGCTCCTCGCCCTCGAAACGGCCCTCCACGGGCCCGCGACTGGCCGCGTCCAGCAGCAGCTGCATCCCCCTCGCCAGAACCTCGAACGCGGCCGGCGAGGCGAGGTTGAGCTGGTCGCCGCGCCCCGCGTGCTCGAGGGGCCTACGCAGCGCCTGGAGCTCGTAAGCGGGGCGATATGAGGCGGCGGTGCGGTTCTCCGTCAAGTACTTGTGATACCGCTGCATCGGAGAGCCGCCTGTCCGCTCGATGTTCTTTGCCATCCACAGCATAGTGCGAGGCCAGATCGACGGGCCAGTCCTCGTAGATGCTCTCGTGCATCTTCCCCGCTGCCTCCTTCCACGAGCGGAAGCGCTCGCCCCTCTCGTCGTGCAATACGGCGAGGGTCCGCACGTCAACGTCCACCTCGTCGGTCGAGTTCGCGCCCTGGTCCTGGATCAACTTCCCGACGCTAGCCGAGGGCTTGGGCATCAGGGAGGAGATCTGCTTTCACCGCCGATCCGCGAACCCGTCCACGTCGTCACTGATCCTGTACAGCACCACCACGCCCTCGCCGGCCTTGCCCGACACTGGAGTGCCCGACACAGCCCGCAGGATGCGGTCGCCTAAGCGGCAGGCCTCCTTCTCCATCAGGATCGTCGCCACCGTGAACTCGGTGCCGACCGGGAACAGCTCGCTTGGCTAGCCGACGACCCAGC